TGAACCCTTTCATACCAATTTAACAATGAATATAGATCTTTGTAATCAACTTCTACTCCCTTTTGTCCAACTATAATCATAAGAAAAATTAATGCATTTATATTTATAGCTCTTCATTTCTTCTCATTGTGTATTTTTTAAGAAGAAAAAAAACTTGGATAAGAGCCCACTATTATGACTTTAGACTCATCCATATTTCCTATTATATGGTTCTCGATAAAGATCTTGCCCAAGTGTTAAAATGTTTTTGTAAACTAATGATATCATCTGATACTAATATGATATAATCTACATACAGTAGAGCTTTGATGACAAAGTTTCAAACTTGGCATCTTCACTATCACATTACTCCAACCACTCGGTAATTGATATTATTAATAACAATTCTAAATAATTAAAAAAAGAAAGCACAAATTTGAATGACTTTGATGATTTTCAAACTCTATTCAATTTGTAGAGTGTTGAACAGAGTAATATAACGTGGCCATAGTTATAGCTAGTAAATAATATAGTACTTCAATGGCTCGCAAACTTATACATAAAAACTGACAAGGTATAGTTTTTAAAGCTTTCTTAGAACTGATTGAGGCGCAAAACCAAGCTTTTTCATTGCCATTAGATTTCTACTAAAAACATGCAAGCACAGGGTATGGTCAATATTGTATTGTGTAGAGAAAAAACCAACTTGAAACCGCATTTTTTTTAGGTTCAATCCATGTGCTCAACTTTACCTCCATCAATTTGCCAAACAACTTTGCAAAAAAATTAACCGTCATGATACTAAAATGGTTTGTCACCAAGCCTTAATTACTGATTTGTGAATAATAACTATCTATTGTAGAAACCAGATTCAACAAAAATAATATGTAGCAATAAGTTTAAATATTTTAGTGAGTATTTGTACAATATCATCCCATACTCTAACACCAGGTATCAAGAAAGTAGTTTACCCGATTATAGTACACAACTCTAAAGCTGGAAGATAGCTAACTTGATTTTACTTTCTCTTATAAAGATTTTACGCACAAGTACAAGAGATAAAATTTCACCCCGCCATCCATTTCACTCTTAATGTATAGATGATATGGCAGATATTTAACAAAACACAGATCACGGAAGTGTTATTATCACTTAACACACTCAGTTCTTATCTAACAAACACACGGATTGTTAACTTGTTATTATCAACTAACACACTTAATTTCTAAGTATAAAACACATAGATTGCTGATGTGTTAACTATGAATACACTAGAAGGTAAATATAGTTTCAACTATATAAATAATATATATACATATATTATTTATACTCTATTTTAATTCTAACTAAAAAAAGATGGTAACAACTCCCTACTTGACAAGTTAAATAAAAATACCTTCCAAATTGTTACATTTACCATTTGGTAATTTTCTAAGTTGAATTATCATATCTATTTCAAAAGAAACCAAATAATACTTCACAACTTGACATTGATGTAGCGTTAGGGAAGAAATAAAGCTTTCCAGCAAAAGAATTTCAAAGACTTGGAATGAGGAGTAGGTTTTGAATAACGTACTGCAAACCATTTTGAAAAAAATTTGATATCCTTCTACAGCTCTCTTATCAATGAGTACTACTTCCGCTTCTAAAAATCTTGTTATTTGGACTTCACACAATCTTTGTAAAAACCTTGACATAATGAAACCACTTTTGAGATCCAAAGATTCATCAATTGATATCATCATTGCTTGCTTGCAATTAATACTCAAACCATCCATTACAAGGGATACCCTTAGCACTTTTGATTTTATGTCTTGCAATCAAATTCATATCATCCATTACAAGGGATTTCCTTAGCAATTTTGTTTCTATGTCTTGCAATCAAATTCAAACCATCATTACAAGGTATATCCTTAAAACTCATGTCTTTATGTCGCAAAAATAACTTAGAAACAACTTTTTTGAGCAATTAGATTAGTTGCAAACTTGGTGTATGTGGATCATAGCTCCATCCAGTGCGAGTCAAAAGCTCATGTAAATTTTGCATATAAAAGTATTTATTACTAAGATCTAAACGAAGCTTGGGGGAAGTTAAAATAAAATGGCATTTGGAAATAAAAATTGACTTTGACAATAAGAGATGAGGTTCTAGAATTTCAAATTTAAAGATAAGAATGCTAATAATGGGCGAGTATAGAGAACATAACATCTTAATGTGCTTTAGCCTACACGGCTGTTAAACATTATTCTTCATTGTTGGAGCATTTTTTATTTTCATCATGATTTCATTTCACTCTAGTCAACAGAGTAGGTATTGCTCTAAAATCCGACATACTACAATCAGAAATTACTTGAAAGTGATGTTCTTTTAAAACGGTATTCAAAACAGAGTCAGAGTTCAATATTTTCTCGACTTGAAAAAAAAACTCATTTGCTCTTTTTTTCAATTACTCTCTTGACGTAGCTTTGTAAGAGATGTCATAGCTTTGACAATAGTGTTGGATACTCTCACATAAAACCCATAAAAGTTGGGGTGTGTAAGTATGAGACCTTAATCATGTGTGAAGGTTGTGGAAAGAGTAGAATTGCATAAACCTTGTTTAGTTTAACTTGTAATGTTCGTGGGTAGATGTTATTACCAAAATCATCTACCTTCTACTGGGAAAAGCTTTTAGTATGGAAATCGAGTCCATGAGCGGAAATGCAATTGTTCCCTCGACGCGAGATGACATGAATTGGTTAGAGGGTCAGTTGCAGTGTCTACACTCAGGCATCCATTTTCCTTTTTTCGTGTGAGCTTCTGAATTTTAGTGTACATGGGAGATACATGAGAGCAAATGCAGCATTTGATTTGAGTATTCGAAAGAATACAGTCAATATCAGGAAGCGTAGCCCTCAGATCAAAAGCATTGATAGAAGAAATTTTACATTCTGATGGTTCAGAGAATCTTCGATGAAAATGCTTCGAAGAGATGGAATACTGGTCGCTGTTTTACTTACTGGGCATGTCGTCGCTTCTGACAGCGACCCAGCCTGAACAACGGACGGAACCTATTACCGGCAAGCAATAACCAACGCTCCTCTCTACGAGGTTTACTAGCTGATTGGGTATGGAGATCTCGTGCTTGTTGCCTAGCACAAGAATAGCTGCAAGTCCAGTTTTGAAAGTCACGGTCTTCCTCAATCCACATCCAGCCCCTACTTTATGAGGCATGAAAGGAATCTGTCCATCTAAACTCTAAAAATGGACGGAGGCCAAGACCATCGATCCACTCGCACAAGATGATCTGAAGCCGCAATCGAATCAACTGGCACCAGTTCTTATGCTGTCGAACGAGATGGCTAGAACACTCTTGTCTTGTCCGGGAAAGAATGCTGCATGAAACAAATCGTCTGGACTCATCATTGACGGGGATAAAGCGAATTTGGTACAGTCTATGATGCAATGTGCATAGATGCTACTAAATTCAGCTTTGACTGGTGCTTGAGATTGGAACTGTCAAACTATGGTCAGTTCTTTCCGCTCATTCTAAAAAACAACAACATACTAAGTCAATTTAAATTTATATTGTCCTGTTTAATATCAAATTGAAATTACACTATGTGATAAAACCCATGTTTTTTTACCAGATCTTCAAAGCATCAATTTTTAATGTTAGAGGACAGTTTATCAAAAGCTTATAGTCAAGTTTGATTCTCAGTACCGAAGAAACTTTACCTATTGAACCATTTTGTCAATTTTCAACGTTGCTTGCGCCCCTGAAATTTCTTAGTTCGGGTATAAAATCAACAGACAGATTCATGACACTTAGTCTCAGCCTACTTCACATTTAAATTGCCAACAAGATCTTGAGTCTATCGACACCTTGCATACTTTTCAACGTGAAGTCTAAAACAACCGCTGATCAAAAGTCTTCATGACACATTCAAGAATTTACAATTATTGGACCATGATCCATTTCTGAATAAATATCCGGTCATATCCATGACATACGTGGAGAAATTACTTTATTTGTGTTTCAAATACTGCATGCTACTCTACCCTAGTCACGGTCTCAGAATCCCAACTTCTAAAGTTGAATCGGGAGTAACCAGAGTTCGAACTCCAACCGTCTACCACAAGATAGCTAACTGCACCGTCACGCGTGAAGGGGATTCTAGTGCGAAACTCAATGAGAGTCTTCCGTCTCCTAACCGAGCTCTCGGCCTGACAGCAAAATCCGGTGCAACAGAGAATAAGTATTCAATACATGCTCCTTCCTACTCGCATCTACGTACCAAGAGATGCCAGGACGTCAATGATATGAAGATATCAAACTTCTATCCAGATATAAGTGGACACGTCAGGGTCAGAAGATGCCAACATAGCCACAGGAAGACAAGACCAGCCTTATGAAGCAAGTACTGTGAGATAAGAAATAAATATATGGCAACTCGAAACCTCATAAAGGAAACCGTAAACGACACCATAGCTACAAAACATGTTTGGATGAAGAACCTTCCTTCCTAGCGTCATGCTAAGATTTGTTTTTTCGTATAGAATCATCGAGAATGAATATTCATTGCACAGGAACAGAGAGCGAAAATGAGGGAAGGCCAGAAATCAAGCAAACAGGAAAAAATGAATTAAAAAGTGCCAGATCTTCAAAGGATGCTTTGAAGAGCCAGAGCGAGAGTGGAATGGAAGGCTGGACCACTAGCGATAGACGAGCTGGGCCCAGGATGAGTCACAAATAGTAACAGTAACACTCTGGGCAGGACTACAGAACAAGCTCTGAACTGCAATCACATGGAGTAATTGCGCTGCCGACAGTGATCACACCGACGAGTCCATGTATAAAAGCCCCTGCTTTGACTAGTTTCTCAGAGCAGCAGCTGTGGAGAATTCTCTTCCGTCTCTTCTCTCTCTCCTTGCCCTCTATCCCCCCTTAGAGAACCGCCAGGCCACTACCTTTCTCTTCTCATCAACATCTATTTTATTCAGATTTTGGTAGTTCATAGTAACTTTAAAATTTGTCATAATGGCTCTCAACAAGATGGTTTTGGGCAGGAGCACGGAGGCCACAGCTCCCGATGCCTTGAGGGCCGTTTTTGCAGAATTCAGTGCAACGTTTCTCTTTGTGTTCATCGGTGTCGGGTCATGCATCGCGCATTGTAAGTGAATTCAGCCTTTCTCCCGGATACAATGAGCTCTCTTCCGAGCAGCCGTACATCATTCTTCTGATTGCATTCAGAGTGCCGAAGTTGTTGGTGATTTAATCTCCCTGAAAACAAGTTATACTGATTACTATCATTTTGATAACGTGGCCACCTGAAGCCGGTGAGGTTCATCTCGTTCACATTAGTCGGTATTTAGAATGCTCTGCATCTAACATGATAAGCTTAACTGAGATATCTAATTCGATGCTACGGCCCAAGGTCTTTGTAAATGAAACTTCTCGTGTACAGAAATTAGTAAATGCTTCTGTTTTATAGACAAGCAAAATCATGATCCTGCAAGACTTCTTGCTAATGTGATGTGGCCACGGGTGGTCATCGTACATTATTTACAGCTAAGCTAAGCGATGGACCACTATAAGCTGCTGGCTTGGTCTGTATCGCTATCGCCCACGGTTTAGCTATTGCCGTCACGGTGGCTGCCACTGCCAACATCTCAGGAGGACATGTCAATCCTGCTGTCACCTTCGGTCTTGCAGTCGGCGGTTACATCACCGTCGTCCGTGCTGCTTTCTACTGGATTGTTCAGCTTCTCGGCGCCACTCTCGCTGCTTACCTTCTCAAGGCCATCGTTCTCACCACTGGACTGGTAACACCACAAACCTTGAAGCCCTTCGTTGTTTGTTCTGATTTCTGTCCACTCCACGATCTTTGCTCTTCAATATTTAGAGACGATGAGGATTCCCGGAAATTGAGTAAGTCAGCTGATGAGGATGGGTGCTGTCTAATTATCTTGACAACAACAGAGCATGCCGATTCACGGTTTGGGAGCCGGCGTCAGCATCACAGGTGGACTTATTCTTGAGACTGTGCTCACCTTCGCTTTGGCGTTCGTCGTCTACGCCACCGCTGTGGACGGTAAGAGGGGACAGATCGGAATTATTGCACCGCTGGCCATCGGATTCACAGTGTTGGCCGACCACTTCAACGGTGTGCCTTTCACAGGAGCATCCATGAACCCAGCTCGCTCTTTTGGACCTGCATTGGCGGCCATGGACTTCCACAACCACTGGATCTATTGGGTCGGTCCTCTGCTCGGAGGAGGTATCGCTGGTATCATCTACGATGGAGTATTCATGACTGCCGAGTCTGATATCCGTACGGATAACGAGGTTTATGCGGCTGTGCCTCTGTAAATCACCAAACTGTCGACATTACCAAGTTCACTAGATCTGGCTCTGGCTGTGCATTAATTTTGTTTCATCAGTACAGCTTCTGACAGGTCACGAAAGAGTTGTCACTGGGAAGCTGATTCGTCGTGGGGAAAAGCAAACATGAGAACTTTGCTTGGTTGTATAGACATGTGAATAGACTTTAGAGGTAAGATTCGCCATAAGCCACATCTAAAGACAAATAAATCTCATCGCGAACTCTTTGGCTCCCTCTTGATGGCGAATTTTGGGTTTGGTCTGCTCACCTCTTGTGCACTTGTTGTTCTTCAGAGGACGGATGCATGCAATTTTTCTCCCGAGGTTTGTTCACCACTTGCGGGGTCACTGAATAAATATTTGCATCACATCCTCCCTAGTAATTTACCGTTGAATATGTGTCGTGGTATATTGTTCCCCACTTAAGCTTTGGTCCAGACATTGTCGCTATAGGGAGGTTGCCCTTAATTTTCCGAAGAAGAATTGGGCACGGTCAGTGCGTAAGGCTCATGCGACTACAACATGTCGTCAGCATTTGGAAGTATTCCGTATCAGGCGGAAATTGTCCATATTATGATGATTCCGGAGTTCAGTTTTTAAAAGTAACATACCCGTTCCTTGGATTTAAAAAACTGACATAGTTTTCAATTGCTAAAACAACTCAAGAAATCATATCAATGCTAATCTAGCATTATCTCCTTATTGATATCACCATGCTATGGATCTTCAATCTTGTCAACTTGACTCTTACACGGAACTTAACTATAACCCATCTACATCAAGATTCAACAGTCTATGTCTCTTCACCAGTGTGAATTATTACTCTTGTAGGATCACACCTTGTGGTGTAAGTTTGCTTATTTTCAACTTAATCCTATAAATTGACGAAAGTAAGGAAGTTTTGAAATAAATAACATCTAAAGTGTGCTTTAGCCTAAACGGCTGTTAAACATTATTCTTCATTGTTGAAGCATCTTTTTTATTTTATTTTTTTCATCATGATGTTGAGAAGGCATTGCTGCAAAATCCAACATACTACAATCAGCATGTACTTGAAAGTCATGTTCTCTTACAACTGTCTTCAAACAGAGGCAGATTTCAATCTTTTCTTAAGCTTAAAAAAAGTATCTCATTTGTTCTTCTCTTCCGTTACACTCTTGATCTAGCTTTGACAATAAGGTTGAATCCTCTCATATAAAACCCATAATACTTGGCGTGTCTAAGTAAGAGACCCGACTCATGTCTGAAGGTTGTGGAAAGAGTAGGATTGCGTACACCTTGGTTTGATTATGTTTTAATGTTTGTGGGTAGATGTTATTACCAAAATCATCTTAATTCTACTGGGAAAAACTAACAGTATGGAAATCGAGTCCATGAGCAGAAATCCCATTGTTCCCTCGACGCGAGATGACGTGAATTGGCAAGAGAGTCAGTTGCAGTGAGTCTGCACTCAGGCATCCACTATCCTTTTCTCGTGTGAGCTTCTGAAATTTTGTGTACATGGGAAAAACATAAGAGCAACTGCAGTGCTTGATTTGAGTTTTCGAAAGAATACAGCCAATATCAGGAAGCGTAGCTCTCAGATCAAAATCATTGTTAGAAGAAACTTTTCCTTCCGATGGTTCAGAGAATTTTCCAGAAACATGCGTTAAGGAGATGGAACACGGGTCGCTGTGTACTAACTGGGCATGTCTTCGCTTCCGACAGCGATCCAGCCTGAACAACGGACGGAGCCTATTCCTGGCAAGCAAAATCCAACGCTCCTTTCTACGAGGTTAACGAGCTGATTGGGTATGGAGATCCCGTACTTGTTTCCTAGCCCTGGAATCGCTGCAAGTCCGGTGCTAAACGCCAAGGGGTTACTAAATCCACATCTAGCCCCTACTTTATGAGTCATGAAAGGAATCTGTCCATCTAAACTGTGGAAATGGGAAGGAGGCCAAGACCATCGATCCACTCGCAGAAGATGATCTGAAGCCGCAATCGAATCCACTGGCACCAGTTCTTATGCTGTCGAACGAGACAGCTCGAAGACTCTTGTCTTGTCAGTGAAAGAACGCTACATGAAACAAATCGTGTGGACTCATCATTGACGGAATAAAGCGGATTTGTTACAGTCTATGATACTAATGTGCATAGATTCTATTGAACTGAGCTTTGACTCGGGATTGAAACTGGAACTGTCAAAGCATGGTAAGTTCTTTCCGTTCATTCTAAATATCAACGATTCACCAAGTCATTTTAAATTTCTATTGTCCCATTTAATATCAAAAGGAAAGTACACCATGTGAGAAAACCGTAGCATGACAGGTATATTTTTTCACCAAATCTTCAAAGCATCAATATTAATGGTAGAGGACATTTAATCAAAAGCTTCTGATGAAGTTTGATTCTAAGTCTCAAAGAAACTATAGGCATTGAAGCATTTTCTCAATTTTTAACGTTGCTTGCGCCCCTGAAATTTCTTGGTTCGGGTATAAAATCAACAGACAGATAACACACACATTCAAAATTCATGACACTTTGTCTCAACCTACTTTACTTTTAGATTGTCAAAAAGGTCTTGAGTCTATCGACACCTTGCATACTTTGCAACGTAAAATCTAAAACTATCATTGATCAAAAGTCTCCATGAAACATTCAAGAATTTCTAATTGTAGGACCGTGATCGATTTTTGAAGAAATATCCGGTCATGTCCATGACATACGAAGAGATAATACTCTAGAATGAAATCCACTGTGTTTCCGTAGTCACGGTCTCAAAATCCCAACTTCTAAAGTTGAATTGGGAGTATCCAGAGTTCGAAATATAACCGTCTACCACAAGATAGCTAACTGCAGTGTCACGCGTGAGGGGTATTCTAGTGCGAAACTCAGTGAGAGTCTTCCGTCTCCTAACCGAGCTCAGCCTGACAGCAAAACCCGGTGCAACAGAGATTAAGAATTCAATACATGCTCCTTCCTACTCGCATCTATGTGACAAGAGATGCCAGGACATCACTGATATGAAGATATCAAAATTCTATCCAGATATAAGTGGACACATCAGGGTCAGAAGATGCCGACATACCCATAGGAGGACAAGACCAGCTTTATGAAGAAAGAACTGAGATATAAGAAATCAGTTCATGGCGACTCAAACCCTCATAAAGGAAACGAGAACACTGTTGCTAAAACATGAGTGGATAAAGAACCTTCCCCTACTAGCGTCATGATAGATTTTGGCTTTTTGTGTTGAATCATCCGAAACGAATATTGATTGCACATGAAGAGAAAGCTAGCAAACAGGAAAAAACGATTTGAAAAGTGCCAGATCGAAAGATGCTCTGAAGAGCCAGAGCGAGAGTGGAATGGGAGGCTGTACCACCAGCGATAGACGAGCTGGGCCCAGGATGAGTCACACATAGTAACTTTCTGGGCAGGACTACAGAAGAAGCTCTGCACTGCAATAACATGAAGTGATTGGGCTGCCGACTGTGATCACACCAACAAGTCCATGTATAAAAGCCCTTGCTTTGACTTGTTTCTCAGAGCAGCAGCAGTAGACAATTCTCTTCCGTCTCTTCTCTCTCTCCTTGCCCTCCCTCATACCGTAGAGAACCTCCAGGCCACTACCTTTCTCTTCTCAACGACATCAATTTAATTCACATTCTGGTAGTTGATCGTAAATTTTAAATTTTTCAGAATGGCTCTCAACAAGATGATTCTTGGTAGAACGGAGGCGACGGCTCCCGATGCCTTGAGGGCGGTTTTCGCAGAATTCATCGCGACGTTCCTCTTTGTCTTCATCGGTGTCGGCTCATGCATCGCTCATTGTAAGTGATTCATCCATTCTCCAAGATACAGTACTAAACCTCTCAGCAGCCGTTCGTTAGTTTCTGATTATATGTCGACGCAATCAGAGTGCTGACCTTCGCAGTAATTTTATCTCATTACAAAAAGGTGATACCTCTTATTATGTGCTTGATAGCGTGGCCACATGAAGCCGGTGATGTTCATCTTGTTCGCATTAGCCAGTATCCAAATGCTGTGCATTTTTCCTGATAAGCTGTACTGGGATATCTGTATCACTATTACGGCTCAAGGTCTTCTTCGAATAACCTTCTCATCTCCGGTGATTAGTGAATGCGTGGTGTTGTCATAGACGAGCAAAATCATGATCCTGCAAGACTACGTGCTAATGTGATGTGGCCATGGGTGGTCATCGTACATTATTTGCAGCTAAGCTAAGCGATGGACCACTAGAAGCCGCTGGCTTGGTCTGTATCGCTGTCGCGCACGGTTTGGCTATTGCCGTCACGGTGGCTGCCACTGCCAACATTTCAGGAGGACATGTCAATCCTGCTGTCACTTTTGGTCTTGCAGTCGGAGGTTACATCACCATCGTCCGTGCTGCTTTCTACTGGATTGCTCAGCTTCTCGGCGCCACTCTTGCTGCTTACCTTCTCAAGGCCATCATTCTCACCACTGGACTGGTAACACCACAAACCCTGAACCTCTTCGTTTTCTATTTTGATAGATTGTCGGCTCCACGATTCTTTTGTCTTCAGTTTTCAGATGATGGAGATTCCCGAAAATTAAGAAAGTAAGCTGATGAGGATGGGTGCTGTCTAATTATCTTGACGATATCAGAGCATGCCGATTCACGGTTTGGGAGCGGACGTTAGCGTCACAGGAGGACTTATCCTTGAGATTGTGCTCACCTTCGCGTTGGTCTTCGTCATCTACGCCACCGCTGTGGACGGTAAGAGGGGACAGATCGGAATCATTGCACCACTGGCAATCGGATTCACAGTGTTGGCCAACCACTTCATCGGTGTGCCATTCACCGGAGCATCCATGAACCCAGCTCGCTCTTTTGGGCCTGCATTGGCCGCCATGGACTTCCACAACCACTGGATCTATTGGGTCGGTCCTCTGCTCGGTGGAGGTTTCGCTGGTATTCTCTATGACGGAGTGTTCATGACTGCCGAAGTCTGACAACCTTCCCCTCCGTGAGGATCCCGAGTTTAGGCGCCTGTGCCTCTGGAAATCACCAAACTGTCGACATCAACGAGTTCATTAGATGTGTCTCTGGCTGTGCATTTACTTTGTTTAGTCACTACAACTCCAGGATAGGTTACTTAGGAGTTGTCGCTCGGGAAGCTGATCGAGCACACATGAGCACTTTATTTGGTTGTATAGACATGTGTACAGACTGTAGAGGTTAGATTTCCCATAAGACTAAGAACTCACATTTTGAACTCTTTGGCTCAAGTGATTTTTTAGTGCGGTCCGCTCACCGCTTGTGCACTTGTTGCTCTCCACAGGACAGATGTATGTATAAAAACAAATTTTCTCCTGAACTTTGTTCACCACTTGCGGGGTTCATTCAATAAATATGTCCATGTCTCCTTTCCTCGTAAATACCATCATACTTATGTCGTGGTATTTTGCTCCCTACTCATGCTTGGAGTCTGGACTATGCTCTGCTTAAAAGATCACTGCTCTTACTAGATCAAGGTAGTTTTCAGGGTCAGGTCTATGCAGTGATGCCTCTTGGTATTAAGTGCATCCAGATTACATGGGCCGGATATTCCCATACAACTATGGGAAGATTGCGCATAAATCGCTTATCAGGACGTTGGCAAGGTCAGACCTCATACCGCTGCAAAATGCATGTTGACTGCATGTTGCAGCCAGCGATTGGACTGTTTCCATACGAGAAGGAAATTCTCCACATCATGCCACATTGCGGTTTGCATCGTCAAGTAACCGGAAAGCCAACAGGCTCCATGAATGGTTGCAATTCCTGCAATGGGGAGGTAGAGTAGAGGATGTCCCCGATTCGACTGGCACGTGAAGAAACTGAATGGTCGTCCAGACTCCATATATTTATCGTCTCCGAAGACCAACCCCACTTGGGAAACTGCCACTCTATTAATATCAATGTTGGATCAACTACATTCTGATAGAAGTAACCACTCATACCGTCGACGCGACTGTGCCTGAATTGGAAAAATGGGTTAGTTGCTGAGTGCAGTTAGCCTGCACTCAGCAATCGATTATCCATTTCTTGTGTACTTGGTGCCTAGCCCAAGAATCTCTGATAGTCCAGGGTTGAAAGCAATGGAGTTATTAAAATCACATCCAACCCGTATATTGTGAATCATGACAGGAGTCTGTCGATCAAAACTCTGAAATTGGAAGGACACCAAGACCATCGATCCAGTCGCATGACTTCCGTCTCCATAAGATGATCTGAACCCGCAATCGAATCCATTGGCACCAGTTACTAACCTGCTCGAGTTCTCTCACCAATTATCTTGACGATGAGTCGAGATAATATTGATCTTTGAATATTGTTATTCTTAATATTTTTACTATATTTACACTATATAGTTAATTCGATTAATTTTATTCATATAATAAGTTTTTTGCTTTTTATTGAAAATTTTTATGATAAATTTTTTAATTATAGATGATGTGAAAAATAATACTATAATAATTTAAATTTATATATTTTATTTTGATTCACATAATTTTATTTTCATATTTTAATAAATAAATTTTATGAAAATAAATTTATAAACTATCAATATTATTTGAATTTTAATATTATACATAAAATAATTTTTTATTTAATTATATTATATATATAATTTTGAATAATAAATCTATGTATACATCAAAGCATATATTTCATAATCATAAATAAATAGAGATTTTTATGGTTATAAGTATACTACATCAAATAATGATTAAATATTGATATACATAAATATTATTTTTTAAAAAAATATTTTTATTATATAGGTAAAAAATTTAAAATTAATATAAATATTTATTTTTGAAATTTATCTAGATAAATTTGAAATGTTATTTTGAATAATCAAAAATTTTTTCTTTAATTAACCTAATATTGTATGTATGTTTTAGAGAAAAATTATTGAAATATGATATTTTGATGAAAAAATATCAAGATTATATGTATTTTATCAAATTTCTTCAAGTAAATAGAGAAGGAGTATAGCAAAGGACAAGGTCTTCAACTATAGAGATATATATATATATACATAGTTCATCTTATGATTTATAAGAAGCTAGAGATGCAAATGGATTGTGAGAGTTCATAATATACTAATTTTTCTAATCTATTGTGTAATTGGTTTAGAAAATACTCTTTTTTGCTTTACATAGATCACTTGTCAACTGTACAGATATTAATATATTTTCGTTAGATGATGCAACATCCGAGTCACATGTTGTGTACATATCATAAACATTTGACCGCTTAAATGTAGTTGGTGTTGGAGTAGATGTATATCACCAATGAATTTAGTATCTTTTGACATTTTGATTTTGTACCTTTTTTTTCTTTGCGGCCTTCTCCATGGTTTTTCTTATATTCATGAGGGTACACAATTGAAGAAATAGTTTCTATTTGCTATGTATATATATATATATATATTGAATATGAAAAGATTAAACTAGTTCATAACATAAATGTGGAGAATTATTATTCTTTATTACAATTTGAATCTTTTGATTTAGGTTGTTCCATCACGTCCTAAGAACTATGACGTTACTTCCTATTTTCTTAGCACTAGTTAGAGATTTATCCTTAGTATCTTTTCCAATAGAAGTAGGTTTTTGCTATAATGTGTCTTACAACTTTTTGACACTTCGGGTCCGGCGCACTTGATCTATTTACCATTTATTCCAAACGATGAACTTAGTTACTTATTTTGAGCCATCGAATCGAGCATGGCGACGAGTGAGAGGATCTGAATAGAAGATACGTACAACAAAAGAGCAACCCAGTCGGTCGTACAAGGACGAGACAGGGAACTATGTGCGAACCACGTTCTGGGCTCTGGAACACGGTTCGGTAGTGGCTGGGGAATCTGCAGGGGACGAGCGGCGTGGGTCAACGATGTCGTCCAGAGTACGAAGACTTGTCATGCAATGCACTGTGCTGTTACTTGTTCATATCCTTATATACAATACATATTGCAAACATATGGAGTCACTTTTGTTTCTCAAATACAAACTGTTATTACACTAACTAATCTCCAATAGTCACAATCTAAAAGTACCAACTACTGAATTTGAAGCAGAAGCTAAAAGAGTTCCAACTATAACAGTCAATCACGAGACTGCGCTGTCACGCGTAAAGAGGATTCGAGTGCGAAACTGAGTGAGAGTCTTACGTCTCCGAACGGAGGTCTCGTCCTTGCAGTTCATCGACTGCAACGAAGCTAAGAACACAGTCTATGCTCCTTCGTTCTCACATCTACTTGAATACAAATGCCCAAACGTATGTAGTCTGAGTACATCTAAATCGTCTCCAGATGTCAGAAGGTGCCGAAATAACCACAGGAATACAAGACCAGCCTTATGAAGCAATTATTGTGATATAAGAAATATTTACTTGGCAACTCAAAACCTCATGAAGGAAACCATAATCGACACCGTTGCTACAAAACATGAATAGATGAAGAGCCCTCCCCTCTCAGCGTCATGCTAAGTTTTGTTTTTTGTGTTGAATCATGCAGCGCACAGTAAGAGAGAGAGAGAGAGAGAGAGAGAGAGAGTGAGGGAAAACAAGAACTACGATTTGGAAAGTGCCAGATCAAAACACGCTTTGAAGGGCCAGAGAGAGCGTGCAAGGGGAGGCTCGACCACTAGCAATAGATGAGCTGGGCCCAGGCTGATAACACACAGTAACACTCTGGGCGGGACTACAGAACAAGCTCCGTCGACGACGTCATCGCAATCATTCCAACGAGTCCATGTATTTAAGCCCCTGCAATGGCTGGTTTCTCAGAGCAGCAGCAGTAGAGAATTCTCTTCCGCCTCTTCTCTCTCCTTGCCCTCTGTCACCCGTGGAGAACCGCCAGGCCACTACCTTTCTCTTCTCAACGACATCCTTTCCATTCAGATTTTGGTAGTTGATCGTAAAATCTAAAATTTGTCGGAATGGCTCTCAACAAGATGGTTTTGGGCAGGAGCACAGAGGCCACGGCTCCCGATGCCTTGAGGGCTGTTTTTGCAGAATTCATCGCGACGTTCCTCTTTGTTTTCATCGGTGTCGGCTCATGCATCGCTCATTGTGAGTGAATTCAGCTATTCGCCAAGATACAGTGTTATGTCCTCTCAGCAGCCGTTCATTGTTTTCTGATTGTATGTCGACACGATCAGAGTAATGGTCTTGTCAGGAATTTCATCTCCTTGAAAACAAGTCACACCTCTAACTAAACTGCTCTTGCTAACGTGGTCAACTCAAGCTGGTGAGGCTCAAGTCCTATACATTAGTATTTATCGAAATGATACATATCTATCCTCATGTACAATTCCCAACTCATGGTATGTATAAGTTCTTCGATGGCTCCATATAAGAATAGCAAGACCGAGGCTTGTTTGGTTATTCTTTCGGTCACGTCAATTATTATTGTGATTTGGAATGAAAAGTAAAAGAGTTCACGGACGGCGAGGGTGTATTTCTAGCTCCTGAAAGGATTGGGTTTTACAGTCACGCCTTGTCTTTTCAAAATCAAAAACTATGCGGGCACTCTGGTCCTTCAGGTCTAAAGAAAAACGTTTCATATTACTTTGCTTTGGGTTAAGATCTATCTGAGATATCTGATTCGATGTTATGGCTCCAGGTCTGCTTAGAACAACCCTAGTATTTCCGAAGATTAGAGAAAGCGCTGTGTCTCTTTAAACGAGGAAATTAATATGCCTGAAAGACAAAGTGCTAATGTCATGCGGCCGTTGGTGATGATTGTACACTATTTGCAGCTAAGCTAAGCGATGGACCGCTCGAAGCTGCTGGCTTGGTCTGCATCGCTATCGCCCACGGCTTAGCTATTGCCGTCACGGTGGCTGCCACTGCCAACATCTCAGGAGGACATGTGAATCCTGCTGTTACCTTCGGTCTTGCAGTCGGCGGTTACATCACCATCGTCCGTGCTGCTTTCTACTGGATTGCTCAGCTTCTCGGCGCCACTCTCGCTGCTTACCTTCTCAAGGCTATCATTCTCACCACTGGACTGGTGAAACCACAAACCATGAAGCCCTTTGTTCTATGTTTTGATAGATGGTCGGCTCCACGATCTTTTCTTTTCAGTATTCAGATGATGACAATTCCCCGATATTGAGTAAGTCAGCTGATGAGGATGGGTGCTGTCTAATTACCTTGACAACAACAGAGCATGCCGATTCACGGTTTGGGAGCCGGCGTTAGCGTCACAGGAGGACTTATTCTTGAGACTGTGCTCACCTTCGTGTTGGTCTTCGTCGTCTACGCCACCGCTGTGGACGGTAAGAGGGGACAGATCGGAATCATTGCACCGCTGGCCATCGGATTCACAGTGTTGGCCGACCACTTCATCGGTGTGCCATTCACCGGAGCATCCATGAACCCAGCTCGATCTTTTGGACCTGCATTCGCCACCATGGACTTCCACAACCACTGGATCTACTGGGTCGGTCCTCTGCTCGGAGGAGGTATCGCTGGTATCATCTACGACGGAGTGTTCATGACTGCCGAGTCTGACATCACTACGGAGAACGAGTATTAGGCGGCTGTGGCTCTCGAAATCACCAAACTGTCGACGTCACCAAGTTCATTAGATCTGGCTCTGGCTGTGCATTCATTTTGTTTTGTCACTACAGCTTGTGACAAGTCACGAAAGAGTTGTCACTGGAAAGCTGATTCTTCGTAGGGATAGGCAGACATGAGTACTTTGCTTGGTTGTATAGACATGTGAATAGACTGTAGAGGTATTATTCGCAGTAAGACACATCTAGAGACAAAGAAATCACATTGTGAGTTCTTTGGATCTCTTGACGATGATATTTTAATTTGATCTGCTCACCTCTTGTGCACTTGTTGTTCTCCAAAGGACTTATGCATGTATGCAAACAATTTTTCTCCCGAGCTTTCCTCACCACTTGTGGGGTTCATTGAATAAATATTTGCATCACTTCCTTCCTCGTAGTCTATAGTTGAATATGTGATGATATCTTGTTATCCATTGTCATGGACTTGACATACAATCAATTAGCGGTGCTTCTTTCCAACTTAGGACTAGAGAACTTTCAAAAACTTACTACTAAAAAGATCAATGATTTCACATTCAAAAACTTACTATTACAAAGATTAATTTTTAGACAAACGACTAGAAACTGCTAACCATTGTTGATCCGTTCCAAAAATGATGTTATTTTCTCCAAGGAGCTCAACATCTAGTTACAATCTATACAGATCACAATAATCTTGAGTATTTTATAGTTTCCAAGGTACTGAATCAAAAACAAGTAGGTTGGATTATGTCGCTTTTGCGCTGTAAGTTTGTTTTCACATACCAACAAATCTGTTCCAACAGTTTTTGCGACAAGCATACATGGACGTACATGCAACTTACGACTAGCAAAGAACTATTATCATCAAGCCCCAGAATTTTCAATTGAAGATCATGCGCATCACAACTCTGATGGATGCATATAGATTTGATGTTAATGAAGTACGTCAATGAAGAAGTTGAAATGTCAAACATGCAAATTTCATTGATAGAGACATTGTCATGGAATGTAAAATTACCCATAAGTAAATACAAATATAACAACGAATTTATTTAATTTTCTTTATTACATATGATGTCATACTAAGAATGTTTGATTGGAATAATATAATCCAAAGATAGAGAGTAGAAGAAAAGTAATAACAAGTAAAAAACTTGTTACTATTCCATTCAGATTTCTAGAAAAGTAATAACAAGTTAAAAATCTATTAAAATAGTAATATATTACAAAATCAAAATTTTAAATTTTTTTAATGTATATAACATAACTTTCGAAAGATGATGAATGTTTTTTGTAAGAGATGTTAGATCTGCGAATAAACTTAACATTTTGAAGATATTCAACAATATATTTTATTGAAGTAAAAATACGTTTTTTCAAATGATCTAAATGGATGATCAAATTATATCATAAATTGAATTAAAAAAATTGAAAAAAATCCATTAATTTACATATATGATTTGTTTTATAAACTTCAAAAAAACAAAATACTTCACCGAGCTAAATTTAAGAAGCAACTATAACCAAATTTTGAATTGCAGATGAAGATATTTTCAAAACTTTTTTTTGTACTAGATATGATTACGTTTAGTATCTAGTGATGATTTTTGATTTTATAAATGCACCAATTACAATCATATGATTGATTCACAATAAATATTTTCTATATCTAGACAGATTTTTAAATTTTTCTTTTGAATTATATTTTGAAACAAAACACACTTTGGATGATCATAAATTTTATTGATGAGAAAAACTTCAAATTTTTAGAAAAGATTAATTGTATATCAAAACTTCTAGCCAAAAATAAATTATCTTTGAAATTGGATTAGATCCAAAAGAATACAAGAGATCAATGAGAAAATAAAAGACATTAATAAATCAAACATCACTTGATTATCAAACTTCATTCAAGAGATTTCTAGTATTCTTTAGATTTTATCTTATATTTGTGAAAGTGTTTGCTCATCCAGTTAAAATCTTTATATCCATATTAGAAAAATGTCAAGAATGAAAATAGTGAACAACCTAAGAGTTAGCTTTTCAACCAAGAATTATCTTTTGTTACACACACATATCTTCAAATGGTTTAATCCTAATTGCTATAACAAGCTGGTTACCTATACGTCATATACAATAGAGTTTGACATAATTTAACAAAAATGGGAGTATAAGTGACATTCAGTAGCTTTATTTTCTTAAAAGTTGGTAACAACGGAGCAAAACCATGAGTCAGCAAACCAGGATAAATTAATTATTATGTTGGCAATGAAACATTAGGAAACAAAATTTGAGTGATATGGAATTTGTGATGGACACCTATCATAAATCTTTGTTTATTTGGAAATTCAAAGAATCAATCTACACAACAAACTTGATGTTTAAAATGACGTTGGCGTTTGAACATGAAGATATTATATGTGGAGTGCAATAAACACCATGCAAATACTTTCACGCACATGACTTGTCTTAATCATATCGCATAAATGAAAATTCAAATTTAATGATGGACTTAAATGATGTAACCCACAGAGTAACATGAAGAGATTAATATAGCATCACGAATTGAAAACATGAAGTTTCAGAGTTTTAGTTTCATCACGAACTAGATGTTATTCCACGAACTGAACTCTTGGAATTTGACGTTTTACATGTTAAATCCAAAAGATAAAAATTACGCACAATGATTTCAGAAGATAATCATGAAGTAACTATTGCATATCATGTGGAAGTGAAAAAATCCTTGGAATTATACAGCAATTATGTTATTGGTTCAAAATACGAGAGTATGTAGAAATTAACGTTTGAAGTTGTGTTGTTTATTAGACAAGACAAGTAATCAAAACAAGATGATATATTACATAACCTTCCTATTTCACAACAGCTACGGAAATATGTTTACATGTATTTCGTATGTGAATTATCAAGAATTTTGGTATGATATAATTTTGTGGTGATTTTTGCGGAATTATTAAACAAGATGACTCACATCATGCCCACAAAATTAATAAAAAATTCACAATTGAATCATTTGTGTTTAGATGCTGTTTTTGTGAATCATAATTTAAAAAAAGTTTTAATCAATGATAAATTATTAATTTCACAAATTTATTTTTAAAAATTATATATATATTTTTTTCAAAACAAACAAGCATGATAAATTGTCTATCATATTTAACTCATTTGTCTATCATACTTTCTTTTTGCCCAAAAAGAGAAGTACCAATAGAATTGTAGAGTATATACTAAGGATATTTATATGAGAGTATTAAGAAGAGTAAAACACACTTTTGACTTTTGTAAAATTTCCATAAAAAAATTGTTCAAATGCATAAATAAGAGTATTTTCTTTATATTGTATGCAATGATAGTCAATCTATAACTACTTCAAGTTTGATGAGATTTCCAAACAGAGATGAGCTATTGATCAAAGTTGTTACAATCAAGGAAGTGGAGTTAGTGTAGTATGTTCATAAAGTACAACATCAAGCCAAGAAAAAGTTGTTAATAGCTCCAAACAAACAAAAAAAACATGTAGATTTTCATTGTAAAATTGTATTTTTTGGTTTGAAACATTTTGATGAAATGTTATACAAGTTAGAAATTTTATTCAATATTTCATGTATCACAATTACAAAAACATATGACATAATCAAAATTATTCATTAATCAATTAGTATCATAATCTATTCTAACCTTTAAAGTTCATTATGAGTAATTTGAGGTAGATAATATCTTATTTCAGATCATAAATATCTCAACATAGAGTATTAGACTAAGTGAAAAGTATGTGCATCATATGAAGCAACTTAAATCTATATTTATATACATACTTAGATACTACTCTTTATTATTAGATACTCCTCCTCCTTATATTTACATATACATACAATGTATTACCTCCATTTATAAACATCCTCATGGCGCGGTAATGTCGTTGAGTATTTTTCGCAACTATATACTCGTGGAGAGTATAAAGTTGCGAAATACTCAACGATTCAACGTTGAATGATAACTTCTTGGAAACCGGTCAAAATCGAGCCAGAAAACCATGACCTGCTCTAAAATTATCATCTCATGCTGATGTAATTGGAACCATGCGAACTACGTGCCTAAGTGGGCAAGCGAGCAAAAACACTACTGCGATGGCACCAACTTTAGACTCGGATTCTCCCATCTTGAGCATCAGATCTGACTTCAGACAAGGGCGAGTTCAAAGGCAGCTGAAGAGCGAGCTATACAGAAATGACAACCCCATCAGTTTCAGAACGATTACAGAGCCCCAAACATCCAGATACGTTACCCCAAGGCCAAGCTAACCCCTTCACTACCGAATGCATGGACATTTCTTTTGACTGGTTGTGTCCTCTCGGCATGGGTAAGGAGGTGAATCCATACCTAAATCCATGCATATATCCATAAGTTGGCAGCCAAAACCAGTAGAATGTAACCTACTTTCATTGCAACCACTTTGAAAGTACACAGCTCGTTGAAATTTTTTCTGGAAAAATTCCTTCTGATTCAAAAATGTACTTTGAAAGTGGTTGCAATGAAAGTGGGTTACATTCTACTGGTTTTGGCTGCCACATCCATAGCAGTTGTGCAGGGATCGAAGTTTTGGGATGACTTTTACGTCAACTTTGGAGATGGCAAAGTGCAGTATCCAGGATATGATACCGGAAGTACCGTTGCTTTGGGTTTAGACAATACTACTGGTACTCATTCTGCTGTTAGAAAAATGATCAATGTATTTTGTGAAAAGTTTTGTTCATTCGCCTAAACCATCTCTTGTCATGACAATGCAACGCATTTCGGATGAATTTGGACTCTGAAGTTTGATTATTCTGTGTTGCAGGATCTGGATTCCAGTCGAAGTACCCTTACTTGTTTGGGAGCCTCTCCATGCAGCTGAAGCTAGTTGGAGGCAACTCTGCCGGAACTGTTACATCCTACTATGTAAGACATACCTGCTGTATCCTTATGACTACCTGCTCAAGTCCACAATTGGAATCTCTTCAGTCTACAATAGAAAGAGGCCGATATGTTATTTTTAGTTGGAGTCTGAAATCTATCGAAATGGTTAGTTCAAAACGATCTGAATCCAGAGCCTCATATCGACAATTCTCACCACGAAGTTAATGTTTCAAAATCCTATATTGCTCTGCCGGTAATATGTTCCTTCCACTGCACCGTATCCAATATACTCAAGATACTAACAATTATCACCTCATGATATTCAATCCAATGCAGATGGCTTCAGACAGAACTCAGTATCCAAAGTGGTGTGAGCTAGATTTTGAATTCTTGGGTAACACTTCCGGGGAGCCATACATTCTACAAACCAATGTCTTCTCCGAGGGAGTAGGAAACAGAGAGCAACGTATCTACTTGTGGTTCGATCCCATTGCTGACTACCATGAGTACGGCATCCTGTGGAACCAGGACCTCATTCTGTGAGTAACTGCGCAACCTGTGTATTATCTTCTCATTTCAAGTATCGAATGTGGTACTTAAGGCCGTCGAAAACGTCCAATTAAGTACGTGATTTACTGAGTCAGGGTTCTTTCGAGAAACTGATGTGTCTGTACCAATGCTTGTGCAGGTTTGTGGTCGACAGCCGCGTCATCAGGGTCTTCTACAACGCAGCATATCTCGGTATTCCTTACTTGAGTTATCAACCAATGTTCATCTATTCCAGCATTTGGAATGGAGAATCGTGGGCGACTTGCGGTGGAGGAGTGAAAACCGACTGGAGCCTCCAGCCTTTCCTTGCATCTTACACCAATTTTAATGTCTGGAATGCTAGTGAGATGAGGGAATACACAGTGAGCTCTTCACATGCTTGCTTTGAGAAGCTGTACAGCAGCTCATATGGTCAGGCTCCGAATCTAGCTCTCACGCAATCTCAGATTGACGATCTGAGATGGATTAGGTACAATTACGTGATCTACGATTACTGCACCGATCTGAAGAGATTCAACTGGATCGCTCCACCAGAGTGTGCTCTGAACTGGCCTTAGAATTCTAGGTTGGAACGTTCTGCATAACTCTATGAATTTACATACTACCATTGTAAATTCATAGAATTTACATACATACTACCCAATCTCATACGACTGAAGCAGCGTTTGTGCAAGACAAGAAAAAACAGACTGATACCATCAAGCGATTGGTGGAGTCCAATGAACGGACAGTTAAGTAGCACACTCTGGGAAATCTAAAAGAACTTGGAGAAAACAAAAGGAGAAGCGAGATTCCAAAGAGATGTGCTAAATAAAGGAAACCTAAATCAAGTTGACATAGAAGTATAACACAATATTGTTTTTTGAATGTTGAAGTTCAGCTTTGGGAAACGAATGTAGAGCATGAGACAAATGGAAAAGCTTTGGCTAGCAAATGCTTTAAAGCTGGAAAGCATTGGAATAATATGCCACTTCTATAGACTTATTTTATAAACTCGCTAAAGCCCCCGTCCGGAGCCTTGTCCTCGGGCATCGTACTCCTTACCTCGTACCTCGTATTTTTGTAGGGGAGTCCGAGGGGACACATTTTGTTTGCCTCGTACATCGTACCTCGTACCTCGTATTTTGTCTTAGTACTACCTTACCTCGTATTGTCGGAGAATACGAGGGGTCACAGTTTAGGTGCCTCGTACATCAAACCTCGTATCTCGTCCGCGTACGCCTCACCTCGTACCTCGTATCGTAGGAGAATACAAGGGGTCGCACTCTGGGTGTCTCGTACATCAAACCTCGTATCTCGTCCTCGTACGCCTTACATCGTGCCTCGTATATCGACCTCTTACTCCTTACCTCGTACCGTAGGAGAAATCGAGGCGTCACAGTCTGGGTTCCTCGTACCTCGCATTGTAGAGAGTCCGAGTGGCCACAGTCCACAACGCTTATTCTAGAGATTACATTCCACCATAACCCGAACCGAATGACTATATCAGCTGCTTGTAAGTTTCCGTTTTGAAAAAAAAATTCGATCAGCATGTGAGAGCTAGAAAGAACGAAATTGGACCGATACGTCGGTCGTTGATCGGACTGAGCATCTAGAAATTATTGTTTAAATAATCGGACAGACTGAAATGTCAGTTGGACGACTGCTCGTCGACGAATTCCCCACAGAACATACCCGGAGTATCAACTCCAGATGAATGTCCGATCCTCGCAAAGGGGCGTCCCAGATCCAGCCATGGCCCAGAGCAACCTCGTAGACAAACGCCAAATACTGGCGTCGTCGACCCGGTTTTGCTCATGCGCACGATCTTATTAGTGGAGCCAGTTGGTTCACTCCATTGGTCCCCAGAAACGACCCTTTGCTGATCAGGGCTTCGACGTGTGGATCGGCCACGATGACTCAATGTACATCCAGAAAAATCTCGCAATCACTGATGTTCGAATCATGTGTGTGCCCATTTGCAGTTATTTGCTGGCTCTTGCTAGTGACTGACCGGACCGGATACGTGCATGCACGCGGGTAGTATACTGATCCGAACCCGGGATGTGGAGCAATATCTGTGATGGGAATCTTACTTAAGACAGTGGATAAAATCAGAATTATCGAGGTGAAAATAGAGATTAGAGCGAGTGAAAAGCTGGTCTCAGAATTTTTTATCTGGTCCAGTCCATCAGCTTAGAGGTCAGAGCGACGAGGTGTTGGTTCAAAGCCAGAAACCGGATCATGCACGAGTGGCATGATCGAGCTCTCGTTACGAGAAAGGATGGCGTTCGTTGCATCGGGGGCGGCTACTGAGAAGGAAAGAGAAGAGTAGAGGAGAGAAGGTGGAAGGCGAGAATGCGCTGAGCCGAAATGGCGCGAGCTCAATTGGGCACTGGCTATGGCCAGATCGTCAGAAGTGCCAAGACAGAGAGCAAGGGGAGGCGATGGAAAATGAGCGGGAGGGGTGAAAGAGGAGCGCCACGATATTCTGCGATCGAACAGCCGACGAAGAGAGATTTGAGACAGTCGAAATGAGATGGCAAAGAAGGCGAACGAAAAGCACATGCCCGGATGCAACGCTGTCAGAAGCACTGAGCAGCAGGGACAGAAACAGCAGCATCCGTTCCCTCGCTCGTTCGATCGTTCATGAGCAGCTTTGGAAATTGTTCTCAGGCTCGCATCCCCACCGGCAGCGCCGAGTGTGGATCTGGACCCACAAGTCTGCGCACCCGCCACTGTGTCGGTCCAATGAAACCGGAATTTTTTGCAAGAAAAACCGTCCTGTCAATCGGTAGACATCTTCACTTCGAAGGCTGTCATATACTAACTACATGGACCGACCCGCCACCGATCTGGACCCACACGTCCACCCTTCGAAATGTCGGTCGATATATCGGTCCAATGGAAGAGAAATCTCAGATATAGAAAAAAGGAATAGGCCAATTATTAATCCTATTAGGCCGATCCTAATCCTCCTGCCCCCACCGCCTGCTGCCATTCGGATCGCGTAAGTTGCATGGCTTCTGAAGCTACCACAGGAATCATGGGTGTCGAAGCCTTTCCAGCGTACCTTCTTCGGCCGGGTCCTCCAGCTGGTGGCGACGGATGGCACCTCCGATCAGAGATGTCTACTGGCTTCCTCCTGAGATCATGTCGTTCTCGTCCCGCGACCATACGTCGGTATTTATCGAAAATAGCATCGAGTAGACAATCTACTGCTGCTGCAGCGGTTGAGTAGGCTTTGGTACCAAGATGGCAGCAGCTGCTGCGATGACAATGGCTGCTGTGGAATGTGGGGGACCGCAGCAGCAGACTTGGGCGCAGCGGGTGAGGAGATGGAGTCTTTGCGAGCGTCTGAGGGAAGCGAGGGGACTCCTCAGGGCACATTCGCAGCTTTAGCTGCTGCAGCAGAGCCGGGCACCGGGGCGACGGCATCCGGGAAATTCAGCTTCGCACTCAGGCCATGGAGGTCGATGGCAGCAATGTCGTAAGCTCTAGCGGCCTCCTCGGGAGTATCGAAGGTGCCGAGCCACACCTGCATTTTTTTCTTCTCCTTCGAGTGGCATATTCGGGCAGACCATTTTCCTAAGGCCGTCTGGCGCACCCCGCGGAATTTCTCTCTTTTCGCGGCACTGGCAGATTCTCCGACGGCGGAGGGTTTTTCCTCTGCAAACACCACGCAATCAAGCGCACAAAAGTCTCCGATCAACACTCATGGATATGGCCCGACCTGCGATTGCCTCTTTTATGGAGTAGACAAGCACCTTTCTAATCATTCTAGCAGCGCTTGCCGCATGCGCACCTTCTGACACTCACTCTTTCGTCCATGCTAGCCACGGAACCTCAGGAGTACTGTACTTAATCATCCCGAATTCAGTCTCAGTGTCAGCCTAAAGCACTGTTACATTGTCCTGTATTCAAATCCTCCGAACTCTGATTCTGAACTTGGAACTCGTATTTGTCAGGCCATCCGAATTCACTCACTTCTCGGAAAATGTAGTCCCTGAAAGTAGTGAAGTTCTGTATCTCTCTCACTCTCTCACATGAACCCGACCGACCATAAGGTGGATTCCGATAATTTTCATCACACGACAGCGTTGATGTCTTCCCAATATCATCATTATCATCAACAACAACAACAACAACTTCACTTTTTCACTTCGTTCCATCTGATCATTTGCATGTGCGTGCGAGAACTATTTGTGTGCGTGTGGGTGTTGAAAGGGGTCCAAGAGTTTAGGGTTGGAAAGGAGTGTACCGAAACTATGCAGAAGAGTTCTGAGGATTTTGCTTCTGTGCCTGGCCTGCAGTCGTAAGGACCGAGAGAGAAATACTTTATGGAAATGCGGACAGGACTGTGGGGACGGTTGGAAGGAGAGTACCTTCTCTGGGCCCAGAGGGAGCTTGGAGCTCGGAGGTGAAATCTGCTGACTTGTAAGAACTGATGTAAGAACCGGCTCTGTCCATTCTCCGTGCTGAGTCGCGTGCATCACTGGCCGTCCTCTTCTCAGGAGCAGTCCACCCGCCGCCGCTAATTTTATTCTGGTCCGCCGAGTTCCAGCTCCAGTCCGAAATCCCTTGAATCGTCGGGAGGTCCGAGAGGTTGTCATCACCGGCGCCGGGATTCGCACTCGCACCGGCGAACCTCAGAAGCGCTGCAGCTGCAGCTGTCGCCCAAATTACCCTCGTCGACGACACGTCTTCGATCGTCGGCCAAAGCTGTTCCAGTGGTCCATACTCGCGACCCACCACTTGTACAGAGTCTGCATTGGCACTTGCTGCGCTTGTCCCACTCACTGTCGATGAGCAGGACTGCTGCGCCTGCTTCAAATGCGCTTCAGGTGCTGCGGATCCAACGTCCTCCATATCTCTCCCAGAATCTTGCGATCCTCCCTCAATTCAAACCGCATATCCCTGTCCACAATTCCTATTTCCTGTACAAGCCAAGGCTCACGATTTACATGCTTCCTGACCTCGATCTCGAGCGAATGCTCTACGTTCCTAGCATTCCAAATCTCATTTTCTCATCTTATCTCGCTCTGTGGGTGAGAATTGAGCAGTAAATTCTTTAAGCTGCTCGATCCTGCTGTACATCTGTGAGCGAGTTCTGTGGACCAAGTGTCGAAGACTGACTGCAAGAACGCGACCGAGAGTGCTACTATTTCTTCATCTTCTCCTTCTACTACTACTAAGTCCAGACGGACAGACTACTGAGGCTCGAGCTATATCTCAGCGAGAGCTGTAATCGGAATTCTATCCGGCCCTCGGACACGGGCTCACCAGCTACCGCAGGCAAGTAGTATGCAGTTACAGTCGGTGCCTAAGCTCTCTCCTACGGCTGGGGAGCTAGAGCAGCTGCTGTAAACACTTTGGGATTCTTGGCAATTTGCATGAGTGTTCGCCCATGGACTTCGCGAAGGAAGAGTGGTGCACTGAGTCCAGCCGTAGCACACTTGTGGCAAGGATCGCAGGCCATGACTCGCTCGCTAGCTGCCCACCCGAACGCGAATGCGCGCTAAGTCCGTCGGCTGCTGCAGCCGCAACTGGAACTGGAGGCTCACTGAAGATAGGGGGACTTATATAACGGGAGCGTGCTGCAAAGGATCATCGTCCTTACGTCAGACGCTGATATACCAAACTGAAATGCAATACGCTATTCCTGACAATCTTTCAAACCCCACTCCAGGCTCCATGGCACGCTACAATTCGAACAGCATCTCATTTGAATTATGCACCGGATGGTAAAGCTGCTTTTATCGGTACTGCGGGATTACAGCGAAGCCAGGAGCGCTGAGGCGAGCTGAAGTCAAATTCTCGCTCCAGGAATGACACGTTGAGGCCAGTACCTCTTAAGCAGATTGAGACAGTCATGTGTTTGGGTTTGATGGCCAGGTTGAGATGAAATGGTCGAATACGGTAAACTTGGTTCTCCGAACTATGAACTTGGAACTTGGAAACGGTGGAAGAGCCTCACCGTGGTAATTACAGAGATGGCATTTCCAATTTGTACTGATTAGTAATTGAAGTAGATGGTAGTACTTCCAGAGAGAAGGCAGCTGAAGAGTATATCCTGGGTCCTTGTCTGGATTCGGCAACATTGTACATTGGCCAGCACTCCTGGTCATTCACACTGATCCATGTGAACGGATGAAAGGTATTCATCCGTTCTGAGTTTTCATCTGAATTCAATCTGAGTTTTCGTTAAAAACTCAGATTCGAACTATGCACTATACGTTCTCATGTGCTCATGTTCAGTTCTTCTGATTGACTCATGCTATTCGCCGATGTGGTCAACATGCACAGCCAACCGCTCGCCTCGGATACCCAGTTCTAATTTAGCGTGGTTGACCCAGCATTGCAAAATCTAGTTATCTTTACTCCGGTGCGCACAATTTAAGAGTAAATCTCCATCGTGCTCTTGATGACCTGATTGAGAACATCCTGATTTCTTAATTTAAAATTCGTAAAGAAGAAAGAGTACGTAGATTGGTAGATTTCTTTGTGAAATATAATAGGAGAGAAAGGACAAAAAACACAACTCGACCAAGGTCCGAGATTTTACTTCATGAAAAGAGTTGCTGCATCACATATTACAGCAGTAACATACGCAAACCCCAACACTCTACTAATCTGGAATATATCGTAGAAGTTGCAGAATTCCCTTAAAACTAATCAGCGAAATAATTCTGATTTTGATAAAAGATCAAGCCTGGGACCCAAAGTGTCAAAAGGCTGAAAAACACAATACAAGCGACAACCACAAACAAGGTAAAATAGCCCAAAGGCCAATCCCTAGCTAGTGCCAAGAGCACTAGAGCGATAACTAATAATGTACCTAATATAACATATTAAATCAAAAGGAACTAACTGTAACAAAGAATAAAAATTCTCTACATCTATATTATGAGTCACTCTAGTCTCTGCCTATCTAGTACAAGCAAGAAATACATGCTCTTCATCCTCAACTTCTCTTCCATCACATAGCCTACAAATACGTTCACTCCTATCAATATTAAGCCAACGTCCTTCCTCAATTCCAAGCCTATGAGATCCAGTTCTATGCCTAGCAATAATATGACGGAATGACGTAGAGATTCCTGCAAGTAGGTCATCTGTTCACAATAAACAAGCATAGGATTCACATGAAGTTGATAAAACTGCATCTTGCTGCCGCGCTTGCTCCAAATAATGTTTTGAAACTACTCCTTTAGACGTTCACGTACTGCTATAGGTTGTAGGTCCCAATCGCATTCCGTCACATTCCACCTCAAAGACCAAGTTATCATATCCGCTAACCATCCTTTGGCACGTCTGGCACTCAAAGCCTGAGGAGGGAGGTGAGAAGCATCAAGAGATCTCACCCTTCTGATGTAAGTGATGGTCAAGTATAGAGCTTCAGCCTCAACTGGTAAACAATCTGTTTTCGCAAGAAGAATAGCATATGAGGTTTGGTTTCTCACACCCAATTCTTCTTGCAGAAATATCTTCTGCACCCTCTCCACACGCTCCTAACCTGTCTTCTTACAACCAGGACCCCACACTTGGCTGCATACAATACTACCGGCAACACTAAGCTTCTGAATAAAAATTTCCTAAGAATACAAGACACAAGATGAGTACTTCTACACCAATTTAGCAATGAATTTAGAGCTTTGTAACCACCTTCTACTCTCTTTTGCACACAAAGTGCCCAACTATAATCATTTAAAAAAATCAATGCCTAGATATTTATAACTCTTCACCTCTTCTAATTGTAGATCCAGGTAATAGAAGGAGAACTTGGATCAAGTGCCCACTATCATGACTTTGAACTTCTCTATATTTACCTCCATCTGATTCTGGGTACAAAAGCTAGCCAAAGTGTTTAGGTGTTTCTGTAAACTAATTGCATCACGTGCTAGTAATATGATATCATCTGCATACAAGAGAGCTTTGATAACAAAGTTTCCAAACCTGACACCTTCACTATCACATGCCTCCAACCACTCTTCGATATCATCTATAAAAACTCCAAATAGAGTAGGAGAGAGAGAACAACCTTAAATCATTCCAATGGTACTCAAAACCTCTTCAGTTTGAGAAGTGTTGATCTTGACTCGAACAGATTGGTAAAGCGTGGCCACAGCTGCTAGAAGATCTAATGGTACTCCAATGACTTACAGCCTTTTCCATAATAGCTCACGAGGTACGGTGTCAAAAGCTTTCTTAAAATCAATGAAGGCGCAAAACAAAGCTTTGTTGTTGCCCTTTGACTTCTCTCATAAAACACGCAAAGCCACAATATGATCAATGGTGTTGTATGTGGGGCAAAAGCCTGCTTGAAACCGCGCTCTCTTTCGATGAGATTCAGTCCATGTGCTCAACTTTGACTCCACCAATTTGCCAACCAACTTCGCAAAAACACTACCCACCATGATAGTGCGATAGTTTGTCACTAAGTACTTCCTTCCTGACTTGTGAATAGGCACAATCTTTCGTAAAGACCAAGTTGAAGGAAAACCATACATAGCAGCATTCTCTAACGCTTTGGTGAGTATTGGTCCAATAACATATCCTCCCCACTTCAAAAGTTCAATAGAGAGACCATCCAAATCCTCTGATTTACCATTTGCTAATTTTCTGACTTGAGTCATCACCTCTGATTCAGAAAATAAGCCTAATGTTCCTTCACAACAAGACATTGATGCAGCGTTGGGAAAGAAATAAAGCTTTTCAGCAAAGTCAATCAAACTCTAGGGATTTAGAGTAGATTTCAAAGATCTTAGAGCTAATCGTCTCCAAAAGGATTTGGGATTCTCCATCAACTCCTTTGTCAAGGATCCTGCTTCGTCCTCAAAGAAGCTCATTTTTTAGACTTCTCCAAGTCTTTGTAAAGCCTTGTCAAGATAAGCCGACTTCGGAAATCCAAAGACTTTGTCAAGTGATCTCATACTCGCTTGCTTACAATCCAAGTCAAACTATCCATTGCAAGGAAGCCTCCTAGTTCTTCGATCCTTGTGCCGCAAAAAGAACTTAGAAGCAGTGTCTTTGAGCAACTATATTAATTGCCCACTCGTTGTATGTGGTTCAAGGCTTCATGAAGTGTGAGTCAAAAGGTTTTGAAAATGTAGCATGTACTGCTCTTTCTTACTAGGATCTAAACGAAACTTGGGAGAAGCTAAAACAGAATGGCATGGAGAGGGAGGGATTGTTTTTGATAACAAGAGAGTAAATAAGAGAGTTGCATAATCTGACTCTGGGTGAGGTTCTAGAATATCAATTTTCAAAATAAGAGAGCTATGAGTGACCGAGGATAGAAGATAATCAATGATGCTAACACCTGTAGGAGAAAAACACGTATTTGAAAGAGAATTGGGAAAGAGAAAGAAACCGTTGAGAACTTTCAAATTACATGTGGCTCCAAAAGTTAGAAAGTGTTATGTCAAAGGATTTGTACAAGTATCAGAGGAGTTTCTAGACCACATACTATCTTCAAGTTCTTCAAAGGAGGGAGAAGTCAAGAGATCATCAACTTGGGTAAATTATGCACAACCTATTCGAGCATTGAAATCTCCAACCAGAAAAACTTCACCTTTGCTCTGATAATTGAGAACATCTCCTATAAGTTGATGGAATGATTGACTCTAATTGCAAGTGCGTGTGGAATAGATAGTCATGAACAATGGTGTAAAGTAACAAACAGCCAAATGACTATAAGATCCTCCAACCAATCCAAGATGAAGCCAATGATATTGAACTCCAATATCTTGACCTTCTAAATGTATTAGAGATAGAAATTGAGATCTAATGAAAGTAGCAATACCGCCATAGCCTCTTCCAGCTCGTTGACTTCTCTGATTCCAAGTGGATTCCACCAAAATAAACCT